TCAAGGAGAGGGCTGGTGATATTCTCACTGTACCAGCCCCTTTTACCAGAGATACGTCTCCATTAGCATTAGCAATGCTAGTATGCCGAGGAGAGGATCGTTCCGAAAAATCGTCGGCATCATATGTCATGTGGTCTGTTGCTCCTGAATCAAGAATCCAACCGGTATAAGATTCAGTGTAATTGGTCCCAAGAAAAGCCATACTATCGAGCTTGGATATTACTGGAACCATTTTATTCATAGATTTCTTGGTCATTTTCCAATAAATGTCCCAAAAGAATAGTCAGAGGCAATAATGCAGTAAGAAGAAAGACCACAGAAATAATTCAAGCCAAAAAAATGACTCAAGTTCTCACGACCCAAAACCAGTCCAATAAATCAGGTCCAAAACTAGCCCAACAATAAAGTGATTGTTGACAGACACGTGGGAAAAGTCTCAAATAAGTGGGCTTGAAGATATAAACCTTCTCTCTCCACTATCTTCTCCAGTTTGGTCTATTCAGCAAAAAAAAGGCAAGAAATTTGGAGAAACAAGAAATAGTGGAGGCTCTGACCATCCATAAAGATCTCTGAAAGTTCAGAGAACCAAAATATGAAAGAGGAGAAATTTTATTGCAAAGAAACAAGGATGAATTTTGATGTTACTGCTGCCATTTTCTGAAGATAGGAACTCAACCTTTGCTTGGAATAACACTTTCCAGAATTATGTTAAAATAGAAGAAATCAGAGATCTGCTTTCATTTTAGCAAAAAAAAAAAAAAGAGAGGATGAATTAAATCTCAGAAACGAAAAAACAGCAAGAAGAAATCCATGCTCTGAAACCATGTTAGAATGAAATAAACTTGTATGTATATTCATCTATATTATTACAATATTGGTGGATTTATATAGATTAAACTAGGTTATACAACGACTGCAAATATTAAGGCTACAATTGTGGATCCGACGTTGAGTTGTAATTGAGGGATTGCATTGCATGATTCTTGCCTGTGATCCTCCCTTCAAGGACAACTCACGCCAACATATTTGATCGCAATGAATCGGCTTGGAAGCTTGTAAGAAATTTTAAGAGGAATTCGACAACACAAGAAAAATAAAAAGACAATATGCATATTAAACACATTACATTAACACGTTATACCCAACATCAAGCATCAAAGAAATAAGAGAATTCCAAGCTCAGTTGGCATTATCAAGTTTTCCATGCATTAACACTACCTAAAGTCCCATTTAGTTTATAATTTATGAATTAAATAAATCTTTAAAATGAAAATATGTAGTTATAAAATATATTTAGTCTATAATTTACGAAATTAATAAAATCTCTTTAAAAGTCTTACTAAGCACATAGAATATTTTTTATAATGTTTTTAAAACTTTATACTTTAGCATTTAGAGTGGCTTGATATTTAAAAATTATTAAAAAATGTTACCATCGGGAACTTATTAACATTAATAAAAATTAATCTTAAAAATTGGGTAATTAAGTAAGAAATAACTATAATAAATGTTGTTTAATGACCTAATAATCATAATCTGCTGGAAATAACTTTTAAAATGGTTATGGGTTTAGAATGTCTATATATAATTTTATGAATTATTCTTCTTGTACAATTGGGATTGATAACCCCGGTTAACAATATATTCACAAGGGGACTCACGAATTTTTTATTCAGCATGCGCCCCCTCCCATGTGTCTAATTGTCAACCGGGGTTGTACACATAGCACAACTGTAATTTTGATCTTTTATTAACTATTTGGTTAAAAAGACGAGGCATCAAAAGAAGACAAGAAAGAGTCTATCTATGGATGCTTCCGAAAAACTTCATAGTACGAGATATAGAATCCATTGAAAAGAGCGAGGGGCTCAAGAAGCTTGTGTCCGTGGCACTTGAATGTGCTTTGAATGAGTATATGGTCCGTGAAATTATCGTAGAAGAATTACAATTTTCTAGTGAATTTCTTTGTGCAACGAAAGGCGAAAAGAAGGCCCTCCTCAAAGAACTCATTAGGCGGCTAGCCACTCTTATTGGGTGGAGAGACTAGAAGAACTTGTCTACCATTTGGAGAAGATTTCAATGAGTTTTCATCCAGAGCACTGCTATAAGTACAGATTTTTTCTANTAAATTTGACTAGAACAAGTATGGAGTAAATAAGTTTTGAGGAACATATAAATTTTTTCTTGATATAGTATTAAAAAAAAAAAAGAAAAAAAGTAGTTGATTAAAATTTAAACGAAAAAGTTATTTTGAACATATTTGACTGAGATTTTTTCCATTCACTCCCTTTTAGGATCCTTTAACTGCAAATTCAAAAGTCGTTTTATTTTACCCTTGATCGTGAAATATCGATTCTTATTGATTCCAGAAATACAGGAAAAAAATAAATTCCACAATCGATTCCAATTGCCATTACAAAAGTAATTAGTATTCGAAAGAAATCGAAAATTTTTTTGGGAATCCTACTTAAAATAATTACAGATTGCTTTTTATTTTTTAATCATATTTAAATAATTTAATTTTTGTGACTTTAAAAAAAAAAACTATTTCAAAAATAACATTTATCTGACGATAAAAATAAGTATTTTGTAATTTTGATTAAAAAAGAAAATTTAACTTCAAAACTTATTTACTTATAAGTAAATTTAAGCTTAGCCAACCATGCGCTTATTTGAATAATAGTTGATACCTTATTGTGAAAATAAGTAATTTTAAATATCAGTAAAATATTATATATTTAATTATATATATAAATCTTAATTAAAAGTAAATTTGATATACTCACCTGCATAGCAATTAAACATGGTAGTTTGATTAATCTAGGTGGCTAAATGGAATATTTTGCTCGCAAATCCATTATAAAACAATCGGACGGATTTACTAGATAATCGGTGACACGGATCAACTAACATGTTTGATCTCAAATCTTGGACGCAGTCATTTATTTAGAACCTTGACTTTAACTGTATATCAACTATTCACATAAAACCTCGAAAAAAGAGAATAGTATCACGATATTGAAAATTCGCAAACCTGCCATGGATAAAACCATTAACTTATAGGTGGAACTGTTGGCCGGTTGATGTGCTACTTTAGCTGAAATAATGTTTGAATCAAGTTTGATAATTATCCTGAAAAGTCACAAGTTTAACCAAAATTCTTTCCTAAAGCAACGAAAATGAGAGGCGTCCACATGAAACTATGGAGGCTGTATTCAGCCATTATTTGATTTCAATCATTTGATATTCACTTTGTCGTACGCTAATTTTCAATCTCACATGTTTTTAAAAAAAATAAAAAATAAACATATATATTTTTCATGTTTTCATGTAACATTTTCATAATTTTTAATCATACATTCAAAAAAAAATTTATATATATATATATATAAAGAATCATTTCTCAAAAAAATTATCAAACAAGGTTCAATTTGGAATTTTAAATACTTTAAAGAATTTTTTAAGTAAATGACTTTTGTAGAATTTAGCCCTAATTTGTTTCCTATTATTTCTTCATTAAAATGAAAAATATGACCGTTATCCATCACATCAAGCTACCATATTTGAATTTTTATTTTTTTTGTGAGCCCATAACGACTATATTTTTCATTCTCATTTTTATATAAATGAGAAATAAACGGGGTCTTAATGAACTTCTATTAACTATTATGGACTTTTACAGTATCAACACAAGCTTTATTTTTAAAAATTTTCATTTTAGGAGGAAAAAAAAATACCTTGTATATAAAGTTACATGTCTATATAACTGATTGCGCAGTGCACACCCATATTATATTGAATTATTTATCCATGCACTACATTGTAATATTTTTGCCGCCCCATTTAGAAAAAGCAATTCTTGCCAAAAGATTTCCTAGTTTATTTTATTCATATGTGTACAATTATAAGATTAAGTGGAGAAAATTGGTTATAACTAGACAAATTAAATAAAGGTATATTATTAAACAAATAAAACAAAACATTGTCAATAAAGAAAACACGACTCTATAATTGGGATAGGAAAATAAGGAAAGTCAGCAGATATAAAAGGGACGGATGGAGTAATATTATGAAACGCTATTTGCATACCAAATGATCTCGAACACAATAGTGAAATTATAGTTTTCATGTCAACTAAAATGTTTTTAAGATATATTTAATGAGCTGAAAGTCATTAAAAGTATTTCCACTTAAGGAGGCAGGCGGTCGTTAAGCTTTGCTTCTAGATTATCGACTACATGGAAACATATATTTTTGTAGGGTGTTAGTTCATTAGTCATAATCTAATGCATTTTGAGTACTAAGGTAGCTCTTAGGTGTAATATTGTCAATTATTTTCAAACCTATAAAAAGTTATTAAATTAAACAAGTAACAAATAAATAAAACTTATTTACAAATTAATATATTATTTTATGACATTATACTTAAAAATTGATCTCGATGAAAAATTGGGGGAAATGATTGCAAAGAAGAGAAAAAAAAATATTCCATAAATCTATTGGATTTTCGAAGTAAGTTATTTATCTTATTATTAATCAAGGATTTCTTATATAGCTAGAACGACCCAAAAAAAATATTATAAGGATTTTATTCATGAAATGATTTTTCATAAAAAGGGAGAAAAGAATGGAAAAGAAGAGAGAGAGGGAGAAAAAAATGAGAATATTAAAACGAGAATAATAAGAGTAATAGTATTTGTAGTAGTAGTAATAATTATAAGTTAAAGAGAGAATATTAATTTTTATACAATGTCTTGAAGGTTCACAGAATGAAATAAAAAAAATAAAAAAAGAAGAGAGATGTTATAGAGAGAGTAGATACGAGATTTTTGGTGAAATTGTTTTCGTACGTTATTAATGGAAGAATTTTATAAAAGTAAATAAAAAGTATTAACATTTTCAATATTTCAAAGTTATAAGTTTTTTATATTCTGCGCTAAAACGTCGCGTTGAAAACATCTTGTCATCAACGGATAGGATAAAAATTTCTCGCCGTGATAAGAGAAATTATAGTTATGATTATTTGAAATTATAAATTTAGCGAATTATACTTAAGATTCTCTTATCACTTCACCAATCAAAATTTTTGATAACGATGTGCCCATTGAGGGAGATCAAGTCCCCTTTGAAAACTTGGACAAAAACATGCCTGGAAGGTTTTCCCAATGGTGGTGGGTCACTCTCAAGAGCTACATGGTAGGTGTTTCACTGCCTGCAAATTCTCACATCAATCACTCTTAATTCCACTGGCTCCCGTTTTCTCCCAAAATATGTGTATCTTACTTGCCCACTTGCCCAAAATGCAGCATCAATTGTGCATTCTCTTCTTACTATCCCTACTTTTCTTGCAAAACCATACGAAATTTTGTAATGGGCTGTCAATTACGGAGGTGAATTCACTGACAAATGATGAATTGGATGCAATGGTGAAAAGGGTCTGTCGAGGAAAGATCAGCGATTGCCTAGGAAGGGCAGTGGATGAAGATGATCAGATGGATTCTGAGAGTAATAGGAGGGTTTTGATGTTTCAGAAAAGGTATATAAGTTATGATACCTTGAAGAGGGATACTGTGCCATGTTCGAAACCTGGAGCTTCATATTATAACTGCAAAGGTGTAGCTAATTCTTATAGCAGAGGTTGTGAGCTCATTACTCGGTGTGCGAGGGGAGATTAGTTGCTTCAAGTCTTGGGTTTTTTACATTGGAAGATGCTGCTATAGGGGAATTCAATAAATTGGTAAATGTTTTCAACTTTTAGGTTTTGTTTTTATAGTTGGATAAGTATTTAAGACGCATTTATCTTGTTCTGATATAAATGAAAGTTGTGTTTAACTTAATTAGTTGAAGATCATGGAAGACTAGTTATAGCCTTTTCGTTCTTCTATTAAGGCAAAGATTTTAGATTAATCAAAAGATTATTTGACTTAATTATGTAAATTTGTGCGTTAAGTAACCTTTTAGATGATATAGTTCAATATGGTAGCTAAGTAGACAAATTTTCCTGAATTCAATTCTTACGGCTACCTAGTTATGAAATTGTGCGCCTCGAAACCGAAGGGGCTTCTGTCCAACAGTGTAAGATTTTATATGAGTTGATTGAACATATGAGATTGTTCTGCAGTTGCAAGGGCACGCCTTTTCATTTTTTAGGTTTGAGTTAAATGTTTAGGTAGTTTGTAGATGACTAGGAGATAGATTTATAATTTTGTTCAAAATTTCAATAATCTGATTTATCCAATAGATATTGCATCAGCTCCTGTCCAAGTTATCGATGCTTCATTTTGAAAAACAAAAGAAAGCGTAATCAAAATCTAGGTAAAACACTTAAATTTTCAAAAATTTAAGAAAATTAAAGAATTTTATTATATGGAAGGACTTAACCAGAGTGTTGTTTGAGGAAGCCAAGTGCAATGCTAAAAGACTACTTGTCCATGAACCATAGACCGATAGACGCTTCATGGTACCCGTATGCAGCAGACGGAGTCTGGCATAGCATTTCCTATTAGAGACTTATCTAATATTCTACTGGTTTTTGCTTAGTTAGGTTGTTAGATCACTAAAGAATCCCTTCTTAGGACAAATGTGGGTATGATTTTCTATCTGGATATGGTCTCGCATCTCAATTTGATCCCACATGTCAAATTACAGATAAGATCGCTGAGAGCAAAAAAAATTGATGGAGAAATGTTGAGAAATTGCCAAATTACTTCTGTACTATCTTCAGCTGTACCACCTTGATAACTACCGTCCAAACCATTTGATAACACAGTTCTATATCTACTGGAAGAGTAATTGATCAAATTTGTACTTGTTTCCTTCAGTAAAACACTCGTGATACTAGAACTCATGCTCTATAGAACATGGTATATCATTGTTAAATTGGTTCATTCTGAAGCTGCTAGTTCTAGTAACAATATTTTTTCCAGCGAAGCAAATTTAGTCATTAGTAACATAAGATCACTAAAGCAAAGAAATTCGAACCTTGAGTGAGAATGGTAGAACACAGACTATCAAAGATAACGAGGACCTTATTCAGGCACACGAGATCTTTGGATAGGAATGCAGCCAATATCCCTAAGTCTCCTACTGTGAGTTTGGCTTCCTGTTATCATAGTCCAAATTACTTTTCATTTAGTTCTGCCACACGGTTATTGTGTTACGTTCTTCTGTTTCATCTATACGAATACTTCCCTCAGAAAAGGAGCACCTATTGTTCATTTTAAAGCATAAATAACATCCTGTACACCACTAATTTAAATGCTTGACTCATGTTAAAACCTCTAATTTTGTTCTGAATTCAGCTGCAGAAGCACAAGGTAGACCCAAGAAAGTTAAGTGGAAGCTAATTCTCCTCAAGCTTATAGAGTTGCCCTTAGCAAGAGAAGACACTGGAGATACTATGAGCAACTTGCAGCATTCTAGCTGATAAATGACATGTTTGTACTCTGTAATTATGTATTCTTTATTTATGGGAACACATTGCTTAGCACTATAAAGTGTTTACCAATCAGTCAATTTTTATTTTTTATTTCCTTACTCATCAATCAGTCAATTCTTTGTTATCCTATAGGCTTAATCCGCATTCAGTTTTAACATAGTTGATACTTGATACACTTTGTTTATAGGTGGCAATGGCAGAGACAAGTGCAAGCTGAGCATCGAATTTCTCGTGAGAGCCAGCTCATTCCACCATGTGGCGAGTTAGTTGGACGAGGCAAACCCACATGTGGTGAAGCGAGCCAACCCGCATGGTGGGCCGAGTCGAGCCTGACCGTGAGCGTGCCGAATGGCTCGACTCGGTCCATTTAACACCCCTAACCCAACCACGCTTACACATTTTGGCTCAACAAGCAAACTAGCTATGCTTTTGCGTAGTTGACTGCAGAATTAAGGCAGCAAATGCACACAAAATAGACAAAAGCAATCTTTAGTACTTATTTGTCAATGTACCTTTTTTATACTAATTTTAGCATTTCCTATAGAAATCTCTCTCACGAACCGTAATGATTTATTGTAGTAAAAGTTATTCACTTTTGTCCTGTCTTTCTTCTCTATCTTTGATATGGTATATTTCACTATAATAAGGTTAGTGCAAAGGGAGTGGGTACACATGATGTTAGTTCTTTTGATTACTCGAGTTTGAGTTTGCTCGCTTGAGTTTTTCAACGGTATATAAGCAAGTGAAAACGAGAGAGCGATTAGAGAGATCTAGAAAAAAAATTAAGTGTAACTTTTACTACAATAATTCATTAGAGTTTGTGAGAGTTCAAATAATAACATCAAGTAGGATAGAAGACAAAGTAAATTGTGAAAAGCTGTAAACACATTCTTTTCATTTTCTTGTAAACGAATGTTAAACCAAAAGCAATCCTAATCAACTAAATTACCATCTCACACAGCCCTTGATCAAACTTTATTGTACCATTCTTTGGTCTTCAATAGAGACCATTTCTCTCCAGACATATCAACTCCAAAAAACTCCCCCCAGGTAAGCTACCATATAACCCGAAATCACAAGTTTTGAAAAGAAACAATCAAGACAACGTGTATTTGTGTCTTTTCGATTCAGTGTGTGCTTTCCCCTTAGTACCTGTAATGAGGAGGCTTGTAAGGACCCTCAACTGGAATGCTAATGTAATCAGCCTGATCCTTTGAAAGCTTAGTGAGCTTAGCACCAAGCTTCCCAAGGTGGAGAGCAGCAACCTTCTCATCAAGGTGCTTGGGCAAGACATAAACCTTCTTCTCGTACTTGCCAGTTTTCCTCTCGTTCCAGAGCTCAAGTTGTGCAATCACTTGGTTGGTAAAAGAGCACGACATCACAAAGCTAGGGTGTCCGGTGGCACATCCCAAGTTCATAAGACGACCCTCGGCCAAGACAATAATACCGGAATTTGTATCTGGGAATACCCATCTATCTGTTTGTGGTTTGATGGTGATTCTCTTAACCCCAGGGTAGGTCTCGAGACCATGCATGTCAATTTCATTGTCGAAGTGACCAATGTTGCAAACAATGGCATTGTTTTTCATCTTTCTCATGTGGTCGACCATAATGATGTCCTTGTTACCAGTGGTGGTGACGAAGATATCAGCTTCAGAGACAACATCCTCAAGAGTTAGAACCTGGAGACCTTCCATGAGAGCTTGGAGGGCACAAATGGGGTCAATCTCAGTCACAATCACACGGGCACCGGCTTGCTTCAAGGCAGCAGCGCAGCCCTTGCCAACATCTCCATAACCAGCGACAACAGCAACCTTTCCAGCAATCATAACATCAGTGGCCCTCATCAGTCCATCAGGGAGAGAATGGCGGCATCCGTACAAGTTATCAAACTGATCCAACCAAAATGTTCAGACATCATTGTCAAAGAATAAAGAAATGTAATAACATGAAATTACATGACAAGGTGAACCTAAAAAAACGATTACATGGTATTTCAATTATAAGAAAATCAGCATTCAACAAGATCAAACAAGCTAATATTTACAACAATCACATTGCAACTTACTCACAATCGACTTTCGATCAGACTAGAGATCTAAGCTTCTATTTCTGGTTTATGTAATATTTAGAAACACTATCATTTGCATGTTTATTTTCCAAATGCAGAAAATACTGACAATATGTTTCTAAGCACCTGTCTTGGAACAACTAAATAACCCGAAATAAATATCACTCTACTCCAAATACACATACAAGAAATTATTTCAAATCGGTATCCATTATGCATTTAATGAACACCACAAATTATAGAAATAAATTAAATGATTTCCTCATATGTTCGGCTGCATTTAAAAGTATTCTAACTTAATTTTCATGTTACTCTTTCTCTTAAACATAATTTTCATATCAAAAGTTATAAAACTTGCTTTCCATACTACCGAGAAAGTAACTTTAAGCATGAACCACATCTAAATAATCACTAAACACCAAACCCACACTACAAAAATTATTTCTAAGCTCCTTTCTTGAAGTAACTGACACACAACAAAATAAATAGCACTTTACACCAAACGCACACTACAAAAATCAATGACAGTATCCATTATGCATCTAAAGAATTCAACAAATTATAGAATGAAACGAAATGATTTCCTCACTTATGTTTGGCTGGAAATATAATCAATTTAAACTAGTTTTCAGACACTCTTTTTTTTAAACGTAATTCTCAAAGTTATAAAACTTTCTGACTGTCAAATAAAAGTAGCTTTTAAGCACATCCAGACATCCGAAGAATCACTTTATCATAATCAAGAATCATGAATGATGTTACCCGTTTAAAACAATAATATTGACATCGAGCATATAAATCCCAGATCAGATAAAAAAAAAATTCAACAGCTAAATTAAGCTATGATCAAATTAATTATCCAGAGTACAAACACTATACGGTAGATGAAGCTTCAGATCTTAACTCAAAGAAGTATATAATCGTATAAGATTAATAAGAACTTCAGATCTAATCCATTAAAAAGATATGTAATAGTATAAATATACCTTGCTCTTGGTGACAGAGTCATTGACATTAATAGCAGGGAAAAGCAGAGTCCCGTTAGCCTGCATCTGGTAAAGCCTCTTCACACCAGTGGTAGTTTCCTCGGAGACACCGACGAGCCTCTCCTTCATTCTGGTGTATTTCTTCGGATCCGACTTCAGCCCATCTCGTATAATCGTAAGCACGATCTGGAACTCCGCATTGTCGGTCGAATTCGGGTCGGGCACCTTCCCAGTTTTCTCATACTCCTCCTCGGCCTTGAACCCTTCGTGGATCAAGAGCGTAGCATCTCCTCCATCATCAACAATCAGATCGGGTCCTCCACCTGGGCCCCAATCAAGTGCCCTTTCAGTACACCACCAGTACTCCTGTAGGGTCTCACCCTTCCACGCAAACACGGCAGCGCTGTCACGAGCAATGGCGGCTGCGGCGTGGTCCTGAGTTGAAAAAATGTTACAGGAGCACCATCTCACCTCGGCGCCCAAAGCGGTCAAGGTTTCAATCAAAACAGCGGTTTGAATGGTCATGTGAAGGCTGCCAGTGATCTTGGCTCCCTTGAAGGGCTGTGAAGGGCCAAATTCGGTACGGCAAGACATGAGCCCGGGCATTTCGACCTCGGCTAACTCGATCTCGAGGCGGCCGAAATCAGCTTGGGACATGTCCTTGACCTTGTACTCGCGGCCAGATGTGGTTTTCTCAACAAGAAGCGCCATTGATTCTCTCGTCTTATGGGTTTTGCAAGAAGAGAGCGTGAAGAGCAGGCAAGGGTAAATGGGGACTGAAAGGGGATATTAATAGTGTTGAAATGGGAACATGAACGGTTCAGATTTTGAGGGTTTGGTGGATCCGGGATTTGGTAAAAGTTTGGCGGGGCGGGGGATGGGGATGGGGGACACCTATGTATCCAAGGTGTGATGGAGAAAGGGGCAACCAGATGGATTATGCTATTTATCCGGATTGTGCTATTTATCCATAAAAAACATCGAAGAAGTGTTATTGATGTGTGGTGACATGATTGGATAAAAAAGTTGATCGTATTTTAATTGTTAAATGATAGAGTGTTATATGTGACATTATATGACCCATTATGTAAGATTTGATGTACATGTAGCAATGCCTCAACCCAAAATCGTTCTTATTACCGGTTTACGTTTTGGATTATTTCATATACACGTTGGGTGCCTACTTGAGGACCATTTTCTAACTACTAAGAATGTATTTTAAAATAGTAAATTGATGAAAAATGTGCAACTAAAAAATAAGAATTTTTTTTTTTAATTTTACGTATGATGTTATTTTAATGAAGACAATGTGATTAGAGAGAGAGAGAAAGAGAGAGAGAGAATGTATTTTAAAAATAATAAGAATCAAGCAACCGCCAATGTATGATTATTTATTCAAATTAAAGTTTTCCTAGATCTTGAATCACTCAAATCACGACATAATATCTTTTACGTTGATTGGATAAGAGCAGTGCTCTAAGAGGTACTAACGATGCCAATATTGATATACCTCGAGGAGTACATCTCGAGGACTCCATATCTGCTCCAGCTCACCTTTCTGCTATGGTCCTCGGGGTCTCCCTAAGACCTCGAGGTATTATGTCCTCGAGGTATCTCGTGCACATATTAACATCCTCTCAAGTCCTCGAGAATAGTCCTCGAGACATATACCACCAACATACCTTCTAAGACCTAGGTATCTAACAAACAAACCTAAACACCCAAGGATTCTGTATCAACCCTTATACCACTTGTCAAACAATTCCATTACAAGTATGACACTCTTTATAAATAGGAATTCCCTTGGATAAAAACATCCAACCAGCACAATCCTACTAGGAGTACACTACGTACCCCTATAAAAGCAGAACCTTGGGCCATTATTCAGGTACGTTTTTCATTATTCTCCAGCATATAGCCTCACGCATATAATTCCCTTTCTGACTTAAGCATCGGAGGGGCGACGAGAACACACCTCGTTGCCTTTGTTTCAGGTACTGGAAAGCTACGATCGTGATCAATCCTAATCATCAACCTCGGGAAATCTGCAGGTACGATTTTTGGTAACATCATCGGCGCCGTCTGTGGGAAACACTATCAAAAGCCACGGTAAACACACATTCAGGTCTTCCACCAGCAAGTTCATCCGCTCCAAACCAACCCCCTCCTGAGGATATTCCTGTTCCTCAAGAGGAATCATCAGAAGTGCCCTAACCCCAGCCGGCAGTCGTCACTGCCGGAGCCTTTGAAGAACTCAGATAACAGGTCGCCACACTGACTCAGCTGCTAAGTCAAAAAAATTCGCATCCGTCACCCACACCAGCACCCCAGGAGGGTTTTATGGCCGATGCTCGAGCTCAGAGACATGTCCCTGACAATGGCGGAGCAGGGGCTACGGGCATACCACATGTGACCTCGGCCTCGAGATCAGTGACCATGGAATCCGGGGAACTCGCTAGGATTATTCAAGAAGGAATTATGGCGGGCCTACTTCAGGGCAACAAAGGGACGACAAGATTCAGTCCCAACACTCCCTTTACTCCCGAGATATTGACATTCCCCTTGCCAGACAGATTTAAGTATCCTAGGATCAAAGAATATGATGGGACCACCGATCGAATCAATCATCTTAACGTATACACGGACGTCATGAATCTACAGGTGGCACCGGATCAGGTGATGTGCAAGGCCTTCCCGCAAATTTTGACGAATGCTGCTAGGGATTGGTTCTCAACCTTAGAGCCCAACTCCATAGCCTCATTCTCGAATTTGGCGGACAAGTTCTTAGCTTTCTTCGCAAGCAGTAAACGCATCAGGAAGACAGCAGCTTCCCTCATGCAACTTAGACAAGGACAAAATGAGACCTTACGTGACTTCATGACCAGGTTCAACAAGGAAAGACTTCAGATTCCCGACCTACATATAACTGCAGCAGTTTCTGCCCTCACATATGCTATAAAGTGTGAAACTTTCAAGATGTCTTTATCCAAAACTCCGCCAAAGACAGTGATCGAGCTTCTTACCCGAGCCGAGAAGTACATAAATATGGAGGAAACACTGAACCCGAGAAAGGTTGGACCACCCCATGACAGGGTCGAGCATAAACGACAGCACGACCCGAACCCCCGTGAAGAACAACCTTAGAAAAAATAGAGACAGGAGGTTCCTCCGACGTCATTCACGCGTTTAAATACGTCAAAGACAAATATATTTATGGAGATCAAGGATATGAAGGAACTCAAATGGCCTGTCAGAATGAGGTCACCACCCGAATCCAGGGACATGAACAAGTACTGTGAGTTCCATCGGGATCATGGGCATACCACGGAGAACTGTAAGGCCCTGCAACGGGAGATTGAAGCCCTTATTAAAAGAGGACTCCTGAGTTCCTACGTCGATAATGATAAACGCCCGAGGAACGATCGTGGTAGGGAAAAAGCCCCTGAGGCAAAAAGGGATGGTCAACCCACTGCTGGAACCATCAATATCATCATTGGGGGTATTGCCTCGGGAGGAGACTCCAACAGTGGAAGAAAACAAAATGCCTGACAATATGCCTTGGCCTCTGGGATGCCGCATGGAAAGCTGGAGGATATTACTTTTGGGACCTGGGACTTAGAAGGTATATCACTTCCACATGATGACGCCTTGGTAATCTCAGCGATTGTGGCCAATTTTGAAGTAAAGAGAATCTTGGTTGACAACGGGAGTGTGGCCAATATACTTTCACAAGAAGCTTTTGCCAAAATGGGAATCTCATCTCAGTAGCTCAAAGCGGTTAAAACTCCTCTCCAGGGGTTTGGGGGAGGAGTCATCACTCCAGAGGGTGTCGTCGAGCTTCCGCTAACTTTGGGTTCTGGCCAGAAACAGGTTACGGAGATGACATCTTTTCAAGCGGTACGTGTCTCAATGGCCTATAACGCCATTCTGGGAAGACCACTCCTAAACAAGATCAAAGCCATTGTGTCTACCTTCCACCTAGCCATGAAGTTTCCAACAAGTAATGGCGTTGGGGTCGTGCGTGGAGACCAGACAGCTGCCAGACAATGCTATATTGCCAGCGTTCGGGAAATAAATAACGACGTCATGCAAATCTCGAGGATGGAGCCCGAGGCTAGGCAACAAGTCAGACTTGCTCCTGTCGAAGAATTGATGGAAATTGAGCTCGAGCATGATAAGAAGGTGACGATTGGTCGGGATCTTGACGTCACCCTGAAGACAGAACTAGTTGGTTGCTTATCTCGCAAAATTGACGTTTTTGCCTGGAAGGTTGGGGATATGTCAGGGATAGACCCTAAAATTGCAGTCCACAGACTTAACATTAGCCCAGGGGCCAGACCAGTAAAGCAGAGGAAAAGACAGTTTGCCCCAGAACATCGGGAGGTCATTCGCGAAGAAATTAACAAACTCGTAAGTGCTCAATTCATTCGGGAGGTACAATATCCCGATTGGCTTGCCAATGTTGTTTTAGTGAAGAAGGCCAATGGTAAGTGGAGGGTCTGCATTGACTTCACAGATCTTAATAAAGCATGTCCAAAGGATAGTTATCCCCTACCGCGGATTGACAACTTGGTGGATAACACGTCTGGACATAAGCTATACAGCTTTTTGGATGCATTTTCTGGTTATCATCAAATCCTCATGGCCGAGGAAGATCAAGAAAAGACGTCATTCGTGGCCGATTTCGCCATATACTGTTATAAGGTCATGCCTTTCGATTTGAAGAATGCAGAGGCAACATACCAAAGGCTCATCAACAAAGTCTTTGCAAACTTGATTGGAAGGAATGTGGAGGCGTACGTTGATGACATGGTGGTCAAGAGCAAACAAGTGGACCAGCATATTTCAGATCTTGAAGAAGTTTTCGACACCTTGCGAAAGTACGGAATGAAGTTAAACCCCGCAAAATGTGCATTTGGCGTGGCCTCGGACAAGTTCTTGGGCTTTATGATCACTCACCGGGGAATAGAGGCTAACCCTGACAAAATACAAGCCTTGGCGTCTATGGAATCACCAAGGAACAAGAAAGAGGTACAGAGGTTGACTGGTAGGATAGCAGCCTTGAACAGGTTCATGTCCCGAGCATCAGACAGGTGCTATCCCTTCTTCAAAGTCCTCAGAGGAAACCAAGGCTTTGATTGGAGTAAAGACTGTGAGAAAGCTTTTCAGGAGCTCAAGCAAACATTGGCATCTCCTCCTATTCTCAATAGGCCTGAGCCTGGTGACACCTTATTTTTGTACCTGGTCGTATCTCAAAACGCAGTCAGCGGGGTCTTGGTGAAAGAGGTTAACAAAGTTCAACAACCTATCTACTATGTAAGCAAGGTCTACTAGATGCGGAAACAAGATATACTTTGGCGGAACAACTTGCCCTTGCCTTGGTAATAGCAGCGCAGAAACTCCGGCAGTATTTTCAGTCTCACCCTATTGTGGTGCTCACTAATCAACCACTTAGACATATACTTCAGAAGCCGGACGTATCGGGAAGACTGATGAAATGGGCGATCGAGCTTGGAGAATTTGACATCGAATTCAAACCACGCCCATCTATCAAAGCCCAAGCACTAGCGGACTTCATTGCAGAACTAACCCCTAGGCCTCAGGGGCCAGGTGACAGCTCGAGCATGAGCACCAATTTGGACACTTGGCAAATTTTTGTGGATGGAGCATCGAACTCCTCGGGCTCGGGTGCAGGGGTAATCATCATCAGCCCTGACAAACAAACCGAGATCCAATGCGTTCTTAGGTTCGAGTTTGAAGCAACCAATAACGAGGTCGAGTATGAGGCCGTCGTTATTGCTCTGGAGCTAGCCCTTTGCCTTGAGCTCGAGTTCGTGAAGATATTCAACGATTCACAACTGGTGGTAGGACAGATTGAAGGATCATTTGAAAGGAAAGAAGAGAAAACGAGTTTGTACTGTATGAAAGTTCAGGATCTTCAACGAAAATTCGAGAGTTGTGAAATTGCAAAAATTGCTCGAAAGGACAACGGAAAAGCCGATGCATTATCCAGGCTTGTGTTCATGGATGTAGACAGCCTTGACAGAACAGTTCACATTAAAATCATCACAGAACCCAGCATCAATCAAATCCTCGACATCATGGACATTGACAACGAACCATCCTGGATGGACCCAATCATAGAATTCATCACAAGTGAAAATCTACCAAGAGATGCCAGGTTGGCAAGAAGCATCAGAGCTCGAGCTCCTAGGTACTGCATGATCAGCGGTATCCTCTTTCACAGAAGTATTACTCTTCCATACCTAAGGTGCCTTAGACCATCAGAATCATCCCAGGCCCTTGCTGAAGTTCATGAAGGTGTGTGTGGGAATCATCAAGGAGCCAGGGCCTTGGCCTTTAAACTCGTACGATATGGATACTATTGGCCAACTATGAAGAAAGACGCCTCAGAATATGTTAAAAGATGTGATAGGTGCCAGAGGTTTGGTAATGTTATCCACTCACCAGCTGAAGACCTCACCCACATTAACTGTTGGGCCCCGTTCGAACAATGGAGAGTGGACATCCTCGGCCCTTTTCCTGTGGCAAGAGGTCAATTAAAGTTTGTTGCTGTAGCAGTAGAGTATTTCACAAAATGGGCAGAGGTCGAACCTCTCGCCACGATATCGGAGCCCAAGCTAAGAGCCTTCACTTGGAGGTCTATCATTTGCAGGTTTGGGATACCGAAGGTCCTCATCACCGACAATAGCAGGCAATTTGACAATCAACAGTTCAGGCACTTTTGCTCAAACCTTGGGATTGATCACCGTCTGACTTCAGTTTTGCATCCTCAGAGCAATGGTCTAGCCGAGGTAACAAATCGAATCATATTACAAGACCTCCGAACAAGAATTAGTAATGCTAGGGGTTCTTGGTCCGACGAGCTGCCTTCTATACTATTGACATATCGAACAACTCACAGGACGACCACAGGAGAAACCCCTTTTATGTTAGCCTATGGTATTGAAGCAATGGTCCCGGTGGAAATTAGGTTGTCAAGCTATAGGAGGCTCATGCCAGAAACCTCCGGGCATACAACTGAACACCTTGATCTCTTGGAAGAAGTGCGGGAGCAAGTCGCTATAAAGGTGGCCTCTTACCAAACTAAGACAGCAAAACATTTTAATAACAAAGTCAAGACTCGAAGGTTCAGAGCAGGCGACTTGGTCCTGAGGAGAGCCGAAGCTGCAGGTCACCCCCTAGGGAAGCTTGGGCCCATCTGGGAAGGACCCTTTGAGGTCATACGACAGGTTCGCAAAGGAGCATACTGTCTAAGAGACACTTCGGGTAGACCTCTTCCAAGGCCCTGGAATGCGGATAATCTGAAAATATATTACAAATAACATTCTCGATGCCATCTAGGAGATTTTCTTTTTATTCTTGCATTTTTTCTTCTGAATGTTATTTTTTCCTCGGGCCTGTGCGCCTTTGCATTTTATTTCTCTAGTTTAGCGGGCCTGCGTGCCCATGCATGTTTTCTGTTTTATTTTATAATGAACTACGTTTGGCTTGATCCCGTTTAGGTACGTAGGCAGCTTGGATACAATATAAATTCGAGTCCAGCCCGAGAAATTACTAAATTCAAACCTCGGGTATAACAGCCCTTTAGTTTGCTTTGCACCCAGGTATTACCTAAGTCTTGCCCCACGTAAGCACTCAAAAAAACCTTGCCCCGAGCAAGCGCAAAAAGCCTTGCCCCGAGCAAGCAAAAAAAGCCTTGCCCCGCGCAAGCAAAAAAAGCCTTGCCCCGAGCAAGCACCAAAGCCTTGCCCCACGCAAGCACCAAAAGAAGGCCCCGAGCGAGCACCAAAAGCCTTGATCATATGCTCAAGCGTAAGCCGTTATAGTAACACCCAGAGACATAAAAATCCTACATCATTTTTTGACAATCCCTCGAGGATATCACATGAGCACATAACAACTTTTTAAGTTAGTTTTGCTCAAGGTCTAGAGTCCTCGAGAATCACACAATCTCTCGAGGATGTCACATGAGCACATCCCAACTTTTTAAGTTAGTTGTGCTCGAGGTAAAAGAGTCCTCGAGAATATCACATCACAACTTTTTAAGTTAGTTGTGCTCGAAGTTTAGAGTCCTCGAGAATGTCACTACCACTTTTTAAGTTAGTTGTGCTCGAGGTTTAGAGTCCTCGAGAATATCACATCGCTACCTTTTTAGTTAGTTGTGCTCGAGAGATTATATGCTGGAGTTGTGGAATCCTCGAGTAAACTCTTCAATGTCGCATGAGCAGTTAATTTCCAATTTGTTTGCTCGAATGTATGAAGTCCAAGGGGTCGAGATAAATAGTTCAAATGCAATAAATTAACTTCAAAACATACATAGTCCTCAATCAAAATACATGTTCAAAGTTTAAACAAAAATTACAAAAGATCGGGGTGGGGGAAGTCATCCAATGTGGCCAAGAGGAGGTTCGAGGTTGCTGATGTCAATCTCAACGTCGTCCTCAAGACCGTCCTCCTTATCTCCCCCGATCCTCCTCCATCTTCCGAACCCGAGAGCTCCAAAGTATCAGCAATGGAAGGCACTGTCTTCAGGTCATCCGGAGCGACGTCGGGCAACTTCTGACGGAGGAAGGCCCGGGCTTCTTTCAAAGCATGGAAGTACGCCCCTGACGCGTACTCCCCTTTTATCTTGTCACAATCCTCAGAAGTTTTGAACTCCTCCCAGGCCCTCTCCTTGACAGCCGCGAGCTCGCGCTCAAAATTCTTTGTCTTCTGGATAAGCTCAAGCCTCGCACCCTCGACCTCATCCTTTGCTGTAGCAAGGTCATCCCTGGCCTTTAAAGCCTCCATTCTCGCGTCATCACGCTCCTTCAATAAAACCTCGACCTGAGCCTCGAGGTTTTGAATCCTACTGTCCTTGGAGGCTATGGACGTCTCCACCCCAGCTGCCCTCTTGGCCTCCTCAAGCCCTTGCAGAGAAAGCCCTCGAGCTATGCTCAACATCCGGAAAAAATGGAGAAAATGTGAAGTATTAATCTCGACGACAAAACTTGAGGCTAAAGTCGAAAGTTCGAAGATTACCTTCACTGTAAGACCCTCGAGGACCTTCATCCCATCCTCGAGCTTGACCTCCTCCTTGTATTTGTTCACGAGATCAGGAGCGAGGTGGAAAGTCTCAAATTCCCCGGTAAGAGATGGGTCATCCTCAAGGTCAACCACTTCAAAAGGAGGCCGAGGAGTTACGACCCGAGGAGTAGGAGATCTGAGGTTCGGTTGTAGAGGGGTCGAGACTTGAGGATGTGCTCGAGACGTTTCGCCAGGCCCCCTCACACCCTCAGGAGTCCCTCGAGGCCTCTTCTTGCCTTTCTTCTTCGGGGGCTGCCCCTGTAGATGAGCGTCAGTCCTTGTACTGACAAAGTTTCGGAGAGCCCGAGGATCAAAAGACATGCCTGCAAAAATTTACAAACATTTTAGAACAAGCACAAGGTCAAGCTATTTTTCAAAAAATAATAAAGGAACATCCCTACCCTCGACGCCTCTAATATCTGTCAGGTCTATAACCTCTTCCCCAATCTCCTTCATCATCGAGAAAAGGGGGCTGAGCCCAACCAGCATCCTTCTATGCTCTTCCAAAACATCCGGATACACCTGGCCCTCACAGAACTTCTCGACGTCGGGGATTCCCCGATCAGGCTAGAAAGGAAGGTCGGGTTCTTGGGCTATAACATAAAACCACCCCTCCCTCCACCCCTTCAAAGAGCTCGCCATCCTCGGGACTTTAAAACCCCCAATCGTCGAGAGATAGCCAAAACAAGTGTATCAAGGATGCTTCTTAAGCTCGAACACAAATTTACTGAGGCCAATGTTGGGCTCGATACCTAAGTATCTACATGCTATGAAAAAATAAACGAGCATTCTCCAAGCGTTGGGCACTAACTGCCCCGGGCACATGGAGTGCTCGACTAATAGAGCAATGAAAAAGGGGTGAAAGGGCCACCTAAAGCCAGCCTTAAGGGTCTCCCTAAAAATAACAAACTCCCCTCATCGTGCTCGAACAAATCTATCCTCGGGGCCAGGAAATCTAATATCGCAATTAGACATAATACCGTATTCCCTAGCTGCAGCTATGGCTGAGTGCTCTTTAAGCCTACAAGGTTCGTCGAGATACTCAAAGACCATATTAACTTGAGCCTCAGGAGTAGCCTCTGGGGGAATAGCCGTCGGTATTATCAACGTCCCTACGTCCTTACTACTACTAGAACTACTAGAAGAATCTCGACCCTCACTACTCAACATTACTTAGCAAACTTAAGACCTAGCTTATGGAATAACTTAAAGTCTCGAGCCTTACCTGTAGTTCCAGACAACTTGAGAAGTTCCCAAAGTGTTTCTCTCGAGCACGACCTCACAGAACTCAGATTTACAGTGGGTAAAAGTGAAAAATAAAGGTGAGAACAACAGTATTTATAGGTGAAAACGATGGGAGACCAAAGGTCGCTATCTACGACCGTCCACGAAGACAAGTGTCACAAATCCAAGCCATTCTCTGCAACGGTCATATCTCGACCTCTATCGTCAGCCATCACTTCTCGACGACGATTCGAGAAATGACATAACTCATGTACACCCCATCCTAAGAGCTCGATCTCTAGAAGGAGTGCACGGGGGCCAGTGACGATGCCAATATTGATATACCTCGAGGAGTACATCCCGAGGACTCCATATCTGCTCCAGCTCACCTTTCTGCTATGGTCCTCGGGGTCTCCCTAAGACCTCGAGGTATTATGTCCTCGAGGTATCTCGTGCACATATTAACATCCTCTCAAGTCCTCGGGACATATACCACCAACATATCTTCTAAGACCTAGGTATCTAACAAACAAACCTAAACACCCATGGATTCTGTATCAACCCTTATACCACTTGTCAAACAATTCCATTACAAGTAGGGCACTCTTTATAAATAGAAATTTCCTTGGATAAAAACATCCAACCAGCACAATCCTACTAGGAGTACACTACGTACCCCTATAAAAGCAGAACCTTGGGCCATTATTCAGGTACGTTTTTCATTATTCTCCAGCATATAGCCTCACGCATATAATTCCCTTTCTGACTTAAGCATCGGAGGGGCGACGAGAACACACCTCGTTACCTTTGTTTCAGGTACCGGAAGGCTACGATCGTGATCAACCCTAATCATCAACCCCGGGAAATCTGCAGGTACGATTTTTGGTAGCATCAGGTACAATGCGTGGTGATGCATGATGGTCAAGCTATGGGCTAGGCGAGATTAGGTGAGGCATAGGCATAAAAATGCATTTTCTTATTTTAATTTTTAATCAATAGAAAAATCATTTAATAATTAAAAATAATACCTTCCAAACATCTAAAATAAGTTTATGGGAAATTTATATATTTTTTCAAAGTTTTTAACAAAAAGATAAGTTCTAAATGTAAATATAAAATAGTAAATAAATAGGAATTTTTGGGAGATTTCATTTGTTCAAGATTTCAAGCTACTATTTTGAATTTAAAACCGACGAAGTGAAGAAATCAACATTTAAGTTTTAACGTAGAAGAATTGTAAAAAATGATAATAATAATTAATTAAAAAATTAAAAAGGATAATTATGCGCTCCTAGATGCGCATAATTGCTTCTAAGCACGCATTAGCTGTCAAAGATCCTTGTTGATCGCTAAATAAGGCGTCAAGCCACTTGGCTTGGCGTTTTCGCGGCGCATCCCGCATTGGCAACGTCTAGGCTCCACCAATGCGCACCTTTTAGAACAGTGGATAAGAGAGAAAAATGATTTCGCAGCTTGACATTTTCGCCGTGCATCCCGCATTGGCAACGTCTAGTCTCCGCCAATGCGCCCCTTTTAGAACAGTGGATAAGAGAGAGAAACGATTTCGCATGAATGGATCAATTCGACGTTTTAAGGTACATGGTTTGAATAATTATGGATTTAAAATGTTGTGGTTTAAGTTCATAATCGTATCACGTGTGTGTATGTAGGACTGTCCAAAAGTGTTTCCCCAAAGTTTAGCAACCCATGATTTATGAATAAGCTCCTACAGATATTTTGGTTGGGAAAATGTCAAACAAACATAATGTTTGACACAAAGAATGAGATCACACTCACAGTCGAGGTGTGGGTCCCGCGCGAATAAAATAATGCCGACCTCCCATGTGAGTGTATTGTATCAAATAATGTGTCAAACTTTGTGGTAGTGTAACATGATTGTCTTGGTTGGAAGGTTCAAATTTCAAGGAAATTTCGTTAGTCAGAGTTCAATGACACCATCACAACATCAAAGAGCATGTTTGAGGGAGAGGATATGAGGTCAGAACCAAGTATTTAAAACTCTTTGACTATCAATAAAAAAAATTCGACATTGAAATAATTTTAAAGGAGAAACAATGTAACGCATTGATAATTCATTATAATCATTTATTTAATTAAATTTCAGTCATGGTTATATGAGATAAGGAGGGTCATTTGTTGTTAAGAAGACAGTTGGGCTTTTCGGTAATTTTTGAGAAGTCTAGGGACCAAATTGTAATTCAAGAAAAACTGCACGTTTTATCGACAAACAAATTATGGCCCTGTTTGAGCCGTATTTTTTAAAAAAAGAATACATTTTTAAACGATGATTTAACATCATTTCAACCACACATTCTTCAATCAAATAATATTACACGCAAATTCAAAAATTTCCTCATTTTTTAACTACACATTCTCCATTAATCTACTATTTCAAAATATATTCTTTTCAAAATAATTTGGCTCTCTCACACATAGATATATACTCAATATTCGAGCTCTTCGTTCATCCTTAAAGAAGAAAGTCTTCCTGTTGAAGTTAATCATCTTCATTCAAATACCATGATTCCTAAAAGGATACCATGAAACCTTCAATCTAGAGGATTATAACGAAATTTTGAGAATGTTCAAAACTCAATTCCCTTTCTTTCACTCCAACGGTCTAAAGTGAAAATGCATAAAAATAATATATATAGTATTAGTGATTGTTAATGCTCAGCATAGGCCTAAGCCATTTGAACCAAGGTTAGGGTTTGTCAAGTTTCTTGCTCATAAATTCGCATATATTTAAAAAATTAAGTCAAATATAATTCAATTTCTAGAAAATATTGTTCAGTCCCATTTTTCCATCAAATATATTTTT